TCAGTTCAGCTTTTATACACAAACAAGTTTACATGCGGTTTCCACGGCAAAATAGTATGTACAGTTTCTACAGCAGAGCAGCTTCATTCAGTTACAAACAAGCTCATATTGCTAACAATTGACAATCAACTACTCTAATCATAAATCTACTCAAGTTGTCTTACCCCTAGTAACTGTTTAACAGACCCTCACCACATCCAAGGTAACAAATCATTATATACATGCTTGACTAAATCCTTTAATTATTGTTTCCACTTCTTTAGTACATTTCATGCTCACAAACAGGGTTGCTAACTTACTACTTTGGAGTGTTGCTTTTTAGGCCTACTCTCTTACTAAGCCTTAGCTATTCTACTACTAATTTAAATTGCTCTGCAACAATACCAAGCCTGACAGAGTTCAAGTGTTTGAATGATACTCTTTGACATGTGGTGTGACTCTTGGGGATGATCCTGTACAGGGTTAAGGGTTGGACTTGATGGTTCTTGTGTGTCCTTTCCAATTCAGTGTATCATGTGTTTCTGTGAGATTTCATAGGATTGGACCTCCAAATAAGTTTTTAATCTCTTTGTGATCCATTTGAAAGTATTAAGGTGTACTAAGCCTGTAAAGATGTACTTTCTTTGTGGACAATTGTCTCCACAGAGAGATGCCTTGAAATAGACATGAAAAAAAAAGGTAAAATGTATATAGGGCTATCCACTGAAAGTGTTTTCCTATGTCTGGGATGACATAGTATGGTTTTGTTTGTTTTGGGGTTTTTTGTTTGTTTTTTTTTGATGGTTTTATGGAGAACTAAGTAAAGGAACTGAGACTAAGAAGAAGCCAAGTACAGTATCTTGACTAGTATGTGCATTGCAGTAGGAAGATTCTTTATAGGGCTCAGAGGATATTTTCAGATGTAATACTCACATGGTGATAAGGCCCAATTGGGTTGTAAATTCATGAGAGAGACCTGTCATGCTTTGTATTGTTTGCAGCATTACAACTAATAATGGTACTTAGAGCAGATGTAATTCAAACAGAAATTATTTCTATGAAATGTAATATTGTTTGGGTTCCTTTGAGCCATCATATTGTCCTCCTGAAAGCAGGACTTTTATAGAATTAAAATTACGTGCCATCTCCCTGATTTGAATATTCCATATCCTCTTATCTTTCTTATTTTCTAGTAAGCAGATGGGAAACAATCAGGTAGGAATTTCCAACAACTTCCTAGTACAGCATTTCAATAGCATGATCCATTTTCCTTAGAAGCCAAAACAGACAAAACACCCAACAGTTTTCAGGTTAACTCTGGAAGAGGACATACACTGTGCCTGAGCAAGCGTCTTGCCAGTAGCAATGGGACTGTCAGAATCCAAAAACTGATTCCCTGCCATCTTCCCACACATTTCAATTAAAAAACTACCCAATAAAATACGTAATGCAAGAAAAATTAGTCTTCTGTTCTTTTCTGTAAGAAAAACACCACTGATCAGAGAAATTTGGACTTCTGTGTTGCCTTTAAATGTAAGAGGTATAGATTGACAATCCATTGAGCCTAGTAGAACTTTATACTCAGAAAACACCATTGAATGTATATGTTAGGCACAGTTTGAATCAGTAATGTGAGGATCAATGAAAGTAATGGTACAAGTATGTCATTCTCACTAAGGAGTTTAGGAACATAAAAGAAGTTTTCCTAAGAAATGACAAATCACTGTCCCTTCCTTCCCTTCCTTAATATTTTGCTTTAATATGTAAATCACTATCATTTTTTGCTTTCAGGCTTTGATGGGTAAGCCATATGGCTCTTTACCTAGAAAAACTGTTCCAAGAGCTGAAGAAGCAACTGCTATGAACTTTGCTACTCTCTGGGATTTTAGTGTAAGTGCTTAATCTTGCAATACTTCATATTCTTATGACTCTTTTATTCATAAATACTTCATTGTTTAATATTCAGTGATTTAATATGAGTTATTTCTAGAGATAATTGGCAATAGAATTTACATATTTTTTTCACAAGCTCTCTGTATAGATGTTTCCTTCAGACAAAACACATAATGAAGCTGTATGTTCACAAGCTCAAGGATACGTAGCAATCCAAAGACACATGGGGAAATATCTCTAAGATTGTTTGCCATCTCTGGGTACTGACCTTCCATTTCTTATACATGAATTTGGTCTTCTGCTTTTGTATGACTAAGATCCTGAATTTTAAAATGCAGTGTGACTTAGAAAAAAAAAGAAATTAAATTAAAAAGAAACATGTCTGTATTCTTTTTCTAGAACAAAGCACACTGCTTTTAGTTTTTTCCCAGTCTTACAGAACATGCAGATATTTTAGCTGAATTGAGAAGCATATTATAATGCTTTACTGTTGATGTGATGCCCAGTCTAACGTGTACTGATAAGCTAATGGTATACTTCTAAATATGTCATACTGCTTTTTCTTCCCTAAAACAACAGTTTTATCTTATTGTGGCAGATCTCTATATATAAAGATGGTAGAACTTTGTGTAAAGTCAGCTAGTGAAATTTGGTATTACAATATGTTGCTTAGCAGACTGTTACATTTCTTTATGGTGTGCAGTCATCCTAGGGTACTCCACCTGTGAAAACATGCAACCCTCTACTTAAAGTTTTCCTTCAGGTTCATGGAAGCAGCATCTATTGAACTAAGTGTGATTTCTTCTTCAGTCCCCTGCACTCTTTCCATTCTGAAAAGAAGTTCCAAGGCTTTTAAAGAGTAATGCATTTACAAATCTTTTAGCACTTCAGTTGTTTCAGCAACAGCAAGAATGAATATAATGTTGAAAGCAGACCTATTTCTTGAAAAAATAAACTCAGGTACAGATTACTCCAGTTTACAGCTCAGCCCCTCCAGCTGTCTGCAGAACTCCTGTCTAAAAGTGGCATCTCTCTGTCAGTCTGGCCCCTCTGAGGTCACGTTCAACCCATGCTGGGTGAAAGACCTATGCAGCATTTACAGCTCTACACAGACAATCCCAGGAGGTGCACAGGCAGATTCCATACCAGTTCACTTTTCAACAGGAGAGCAAGTCTGATGTCTCCTGAAAAAACATAACAAGGGTATGATGCCTATGCTTCTCATTAGTAACGCCTTTTTTTAATAGGGTTGAGCTGTTGAGAGATCTTGTGACAAACAAATCTTAAACAAGATTCCTTGGTCTATGGCTCAGTATTTTGATGCAGAGACTCAGATGATGCCATATTTTGGTCAGTTATTCAACTTTTTTGGCTCTATTTTCAAACTTCAGCTACCAATGGAGGAAATAACAGTTTGTCAGAGAACCGAAGATGAGAAAAATCTAGACTGGATAAACAACCTTCCCATTTACAATCAAATCTTTCAGACTTCCTAACTGTAGATAACTGAATTGAAAGAAAGTAATATAATGATAGGTAGAAATTACAATATTCATCTGTCTTTTGACTATAAAGTCACATAAAATGAATAGATTCCTTCTCCTTCATTTTGCCACTTAAATTCATAGAATCATAGAATAGAGTATGCTGCGTTGGAAGGAACCCATCAGGATCATCAAGTCCAACTCCTGGCCCTATGCAGGACACCTCAAGAATCACACCATGTACCTGAGAACACTGTCTAAATGCTTCTTGAACTCAGACAGGCTTAGTACTCATTACCCTGGGGAGCTTGTTCCAGTGCTCAATCATGCTCTGGGTGAAGAACCTTTCTCTGATATCCAACCTAAACCTCGCCCAACACAGCTTAATGCCATTCCTTCGAGTCCTGTCACTGGTCACCAGAGAGGAGAGATTGGTACCTACCCATCCTCTTCCCCTCATGGGGATAGTGAAGACTACAATGAGGTCTCCCCTCAGTCTCCTCTTCTCCAGGCTGAACACATCAAGTGACCTCAGTGGCTCCTCATAAGGTTTCCCCTCCAGACATTCCATCAATCCTTGTGGCCCTCGTTTGGATGGTCTCTAATAGCTTGATGCTTTTTTTGTATTGTGGTGCACAATACTTCACATAGCAGTCAAGCTGAGGCTGCCCCAGTGCAGAGCAGAATGGGAAAATTACCTCCCCTGACAGGCTGGCATGTTTTGCCTGTTGCCTCCCAGGACAAAGTTGGCCCTCCTGGCTGCCAGGGCACTGCTGACTCATATTCAACTTGCTGTTGACCAGGACGCCCAGGTCCCTTTCCATGACGCTGCTTTCCAGCATCTCATTATTCAGTCTATACCAACAGCCAGAGTTGCCCCGTACCATGTGTAGAATCAGGCACATTCCCTTGTTAAACTTAATACGGTTGGTGGTTGCCTATGTCTCCAACTTGTCAAGGTCTATCTGAAGGACCTCTCCAGAGAGAATTGAGAGGTTCACTCAATTTAGTGTCATCGGCAAACTTACTTAGTGTTCCTTCCAGTCTTGAGTCCAGGTTGTTAGTGAAGATGTTGAAGAGAACTGGGGTTAAAATGGAGCCCTGTGGAAGCCCACTAGTCTGGCCACCAGTCTAATGTCACACCATTCACTATAACTCTTTGTGTCTGAACTGTGAGGAAGTTGCTTACCCATAATGTAACACAGTTATCCATCTGTATGCTGGACATTTTGTCCAGAAGGCTCCTGTATGAGACAGTATCAAAATCTTTGCTGAAATCCAAAAAGATTACATCAACTGGCTTTCACGGATCAACTCCATCATAGAAGGAAATCAGGTTGAACAAGCAGGACTTTCATGCTGGCTGTGACCAGTGACTGTGTTGTCATCCAGGTGTCTTTCAATACCTTCCAGAATCTTCTCCATAACTTTTCTGGCATTGAAGTGAGATTAACAGACCTGTAGTTTCCAGGCTCCTCCTTCTTGCTCTTCTTGACATCTCTGAATTCTCAAGATCACTCAAAAATCATCAAAAGAGATTTTGTGATGACATCAGCCAGTTCTTTGAGGATTCTGGTATAAATCCCATCAGGCCCCATAGATTTGTAGGGATCCAGCTGGACCAGCAGATCCTGCACTGTGAAGGAGCAAGATTCAGGATGGGAACAGTTCCAGGCGTGGAGAAAAGCATACAGCAATTGGCAGGACTTTATTATATGGACCTTACAGTTATCATATGGACTTTACTGTTATTATGTGGTTTCATTGTATTCACACTACACAGTGCACAACCTGGTCATGCCCAGGCTTGCCATGAGTTTACCTGCTGTCTGCTCCCTGCTTCCCCCACTCCTCCCCCTTTTGCCTGTGTCTCTATCCTGGTTTGTTCCCCTGCTTGTCTATCTCATGCTCCACCCTATGTTCTGGCCCTTTCCCCTCCAGAGCTGATAAAAACCTGTGTGCGAGGTGGAATAAACACTCTACCTGCATCCCATCTTTGTGTCCCTGACACAAAGATGGGCCGTGCTGTGTCACGGCCCCATTCCCCTCCCCCCTCTCGGACCACGGCACTGCACAATTTTCAGGTCAGCTGGGAGTTGATCAATCTCTCAGTCACAGTCTTGCAGCTCAGGGCACTGAGACCCACTTGATCCATCATTGATGTTGAAGACAGAGGCAATGAAGGTGTTAAACACCTCTGCCTTGTTTCTGTTCCTTTTTGTGAGGTGACCATCCTCATCCTTTAATGGGCCAGTAATATTTCTATACTGCCTATTCATAGATTTGAAAAAACTCTTTTTATTATCCTCCACATTTCTGGCCAGCTGCAACTCCAGTCAAGCTTTGGCCAAATGAATTTTCTCCCTACAATGGCAAGCAGCATCTCTGAATTCATCCAGTCCCACTTGGCCTTGCTTCCACAGGGCATATACCTTCCTTTTTTGTCGTCTTTCCAAGGAAGATCCCTGCCCAGCAAAGTTGGCCTTCTGACTTGCCTGCTTCACTTCCAACATTTGGGAATTGCCTGCTCCTGTGCCCTTAGGAGGTGGTCTGAAGTGACCAGCACTGATGGACCTCAGCAGCTGCAAAAACATTTCTCCCAGGGGACCTTCCTTACTAATTCCCTGAGCAGCCTGAATTCTGCTCTCCTCATGTCCAGAGTTGAGGTTTTGCTGGCACTTTTCCCCCTGTCAACAGAAATTTTAGACTCAATCAGTTCATAGTTGCTGTGGCCAAGACAACCACCAGTCTCCTCTTCTCTCACGACATGCCCTCTGTTGATAGGCAGCAGACCAAGGAGGGCATCTTTCTGAGCTGGCTCCCTTAGGACCTGTTCTATAAAGCTGTTGTCCAGGTTTTTTAGGTATCTTCTGGCCTGGGTTGTACCAGCTGTGTGATGCTCCTGGTTCATTTCTGGGAAGTTGAAGTCCCCCATAAGGACAAGGGCGGTTGACTTGGAAGTGTCCCTTAGTTCCTCAAAGAGTGATTGTTGGCATCATCATCCTGGCTGGGAGGTCTATGGCAGACTCCCACAATGACATCGGCATTATTTGTTTGCCCCTTGATTCTTACCCAGAGGCTCTCAACTGTGCCATTGCCAACTGTGGGCTCCATACATTCTATCCTCTCTGTTACATACAGTGACACCTCTCCACCCCCCTTGTTCTGGTTATCCCTCCTGAAGAACCTGTAACTATCCAGCAGGGCACTCCAGCCACAAGATTCATCCCATCAGGTTTCACTGATGGCAATTATATCAAATCTCTGGGATTGGCCCAAAGTTTTGAGTTCCTCTTGTTGTTTCTCATGTTTTTTATGTTGGTGTAGGAACATTTCAGGTATGTTACATTTTAGCCTACACATCGTGAAGCAAATTGAGGTATCCCATTACTGCTTGTTTCTTTTGGTTTGGTACGCCATCTCGTCATTCATCACTGGCAAGCCTGGTTTTGTCCCTTTCACCCTTCCAAGGTAGTTGAAAGCTCTGTCAACAAGGCTCACTAGCTCCTGTGGCTTGAACTCTTATTACCCCCTGAGTAATAGGGGCATTAGACCAGGTGTTGACTTGATCATCCCATGGTCAAAAAAAACCCAAATTTTTCCGATTACACCAACCTTGGACCACTCATTGACCTGATTGATCTGTCTATTCCTATCAGTATTATTTCTTGTTGCCAGGAGGATTGAGGAAATCACTATCTGTGCTCCTGATCCCTCTACAAATCTTCCCAGGGCCTTTAAGCCTCTTTTGATGTCCTCAGAATTCTTTGTTATTCCATTGCTGCCAGCTTGAACAACCAATAATGGATAGTATTCAGGTGGCCTTATTAGACTGGAGAATTTTTCAGTAATGTCTCTTACCCAAGCCCCTGGGAGACAGCAGACTTCCCTTTGAGTTGGGTCCCATCTGCATATCGGGCCTTCCTTTCCCCTTAGAAGGCAGTTTCCCATGGCAATTTTCAATGAAAATTTAAAAGATTCCCACCTCAGGCACCATTACAAGTCCAAAGGTCAGTCCAAAGAGAATCATGTTTATTCCATACATCCAGCGCAAGAATATGAAATAAGATGCTACTGATGAGCCAAAGTGACCTGTGAAAACATCAGATGTGATAAAAAGGCAGATAAATTAGCTGTTTAAGGACATCATATAAGTTCTCCTCAAAGGTTTTTTTTCAGTCCAAAGCCCCACAAAATTCGCCATTTATCATTTTACTGTTTTTCTACTGTTCTGGTTATTGCCTCTAGATGCAACCCACAAATCCTTCCAAATGCAACTTTTCTAAAATAAGTTTCATTGCACTTTCATCTGCATTTCATCAGTGGCAGAACCTCACTCAGGTATCTGTGCAGTTAAGTCAAATATGCTCCAAACAAAGGGCTGCAATTTAAATTCATCACTGGAACTACAATGCAAAACTGACTTGTGACAAACATCTACTATCAAACATACCTATAGTACCAACCACATTGCCTTGTTTATATTTATGCCCAGTATATGTGGACATCCAAGACTGCTATCATTTTCTCTGTGCTATAATATGTGGCTGAGAATGAGAGAAATACATATTACAAGAAGATCAAGACAATGAAAAATGGCAGAAATAATTACAGTATAGTCTGTGTAGTATAATCTGTACATTATAAATACAGACAAAATAAAATGAAGGTAGGAAATAGCTAAATCCCAATTCCACCTTTCCAAGACTAACTTCAACACTGGCTCTTGAACTGGTACCTGTGTATTGAGGATTTTTTCTATGAAGTGACTAATACTCTCTCAGGGAAATTTTCAACTAGCTATAATATCAAGCTCAACCAATAGGAATGAAAAAAATAAATACTTATTGATTTTAAACTATGCATTGAATACTGACACATATTCTGAAGTAATTTATCATTTTGGCAGACATCAGAAGTATGATAATTGATACTATTCTAATTTACTTACTTTCAATCTCCTTAATTTTCATTTCCCAGGGTATACAGGCTGTCTTAAAATTCTCAAAGTCTCTTTGAAATTTCATCCATTTCTGAAAAGAGTCACAGAAAAAGAAAAAAAAACCAACACACCATCATCTCAGCAACCAGATGCTCAGTTCTCCCTTGAGCTAACGTAAGTCCTTAATCATGCACAGCATCCTTTGTCAGAGTCTACAAAGTAACAGCTTTTGAAGAACCATCTCCTTTTGTTCGTTCTGAATATGTCTCCTATTGGCTTTGTGTGAGGCTTCTATTTCTTCAGCAATTATTAACTAATCACTTCCTTTTGTGTCATGCTCTTTTTCTTTTTCTTTCTCTTTTTCTTTTTCTCTTCTGTTTCTTTTTCTTTAGAATTGTTTCTGAGACTTAATTTCTTATTTCCTTTTCTATTCAAAATTTAAATCTAGAGCTTAAGCTATGTCATTTAATCACAAATACTTTACCCAGGAGTTTATCTATTAATGAGTTTAACTTCTGTAATTGAGCTTCCTATGTCTAACTGAGTTTGAAAGCCTGATTATTTTTGTGACCATCAATGCTTAGGGGATGTGACCACACAGTTGCTTGCACAAAATCCAGTCTAACTAAGGGTAAACCTGGTCATAACAAGTAGTCCTGCCAAATATTCCTAGCCCTTTACTGCCTCAGCGTTTTAGTTTGGGGCAAGAGTGTGCTTTTGAAGTGAATCTCCCAAACAATTCCAATTCAACACAGTTAGATTTGTACTGTAAAGGAGTGTCAGAACTTAAAACTAAGTCAAAATATGTGTTTGGGAGCATGCTAATCTCAAGAGAAAGACTGAACTTTAGATTCAGTCCACAAAAATACACAATCTACATAAAGAGAAATTAACTTTCACAAGATATTAAATTCTTGAAAACTCCTGTAAAAGAGTTGATTTTTTTTTGACAACAAGTTTCAGTCCAACTGTCAGCTCTCATTAGAAATACCTTCATGCAAGGGCAGTGGAAGTAAAAGTTTTAAAATGCAAAGAAAGACAAGGAACTCTACTTTGGAAGATGAGTACCTATGGCAATAATTTACAAAAGGTTCCTCATTAGCTTTACAGGAAGTTAGTGAAACAAACAATTTACCTTGGTCATCATCACTTTGTATGCATAGAATTTTTTTCCTTTTCCTTTTCCAAGAGCACCTTCAAACTTCTCAACAAAAATCTGGGCTTCCCTGAAAAACGATGGCAAAAGAGAGATATAGACAACGGTACAGTAAATTTTATATTGTCTCTACCATATTAATTTAATTTTTTGTGTTCCAGCTCCTCACAGAGTTTTATAAAATCTTGTTGCCTTAGTAATGTTAAGAAAGAAAATCTCTGAAATTTTGTATTTCACAGAATACTAATCATACGTAGTGCAAAAAGTACAAGCAATTTCAGAAATCTGCTCCAATCTAAATGTATTTGGAGCTCTGAGATCTGCCTACATCCAGTCAGTGTTATCAAATATTTTTAGTCACAGTGAATTTAGAAGTTCAGCTACTGCCCATTTGTGTGATGTACAAACTGCTGTTCCTCCTGGTCCCACTTAAAATGAATTGTTGTCCAGCCACCTAAGGAAAATTTATTTTCATTATTTGTTTTGGAGATATGTATACACTAGAGCCTTGGTTCTCTTGTGGCTATGCTACTCAATACTAGGTTTAATTCAACTCTGGATAATTTCTGCATATATCTTCTCTAGCTGTATCATTCCCAGAGTCATTCTTAGAAGTGTAACTTCACTAGCCCCCAAGAGACTAAAGTTTTTCTTATAAATATATGTAAGTTAAATAATACAGCCCACATATTCACCACTTCAGAGCTGTTCCTTGAAGATCAAGTCAGTGTCATTTTAAGGGTCTAGATTCCTTGTTCCCAATTCTGTGCTTCTAGATCACATTTGTATTCTGAATTTTGAAGTCTGATCTTTCTGTATTTAGCTCACATTGGTACTGACTGCGTGTTTCTTATTCTCCAAGCCACTCTGAGTCCTTCTGAGATTTTACAGTTCAGAGGTCACAGATCATTCTTTCATTTTGATACTTAAAAAAAATCTACACTTAAATTTCAGCCCTCCCAAACTAGTCAGAGAAAATAGATTGGTTCAACTTCAGGAAACCAGTGTCCAGGAGACCCCTCTAAATTCAAGCATCAGCATTTGAAATCTTGCTGCAGTCAGCAGATTTAAGGCAGTCATAACAGCAGATGGCAGCTTCCCCCTAAATTCAGCAGCCAGTGCTGGAACACTGCCATAAAAGCAGCCAGAATCGATAAACTGAACATGTGCCAATCTCCCAGGTCAGCATATCGTATTCTGAACTAAAAAGGAAACCCTTCTACTATCCCTTTGATCTCTAGGCAATTTAGACTTGTTCATGAAAAATTTCTGAAACCAAAACCTACAGAGCTGTAGGAAACTTGTGTTTTCAGTCACTAATTATGTTATGCTGAGGAATATGAAGACTTCAAATTGTAGGCTGGGTTTTTTTTAGAGTGAAAGCAGTAACTGAGAAATTTAAGGAGATAACAAGAAAACAACCATTAATAAGTTAAAAAATCCTATGTAGCAGATATGAGCACATCTTACATCTGTAGATGAACACTAAAGCTCTCCACAAACTTGTTCTGCTATAAAATGAAGCTGAGCAAAAACAGGATAGAATTTTTCACAATGAAATTCATGAAAATATTTATTTTAAATGCCTAATTCAAGCTCTTTTTGATTTGTTTTAAAATATTTTCACAGGCATTCTACTAAAACTAGTTTTTCTTATCCTCCTCTGCCTCCTTGACCCTCCATCAAGCAATATTTCAAGTTGGAGTGTTCTTAGTATTTTAGTTTTTTCTTCAGGACAAACCAAAACGTTTTTTTTGAAGGTGGTTAACTGGACTGTCATGGTTTTAGAGCCCAAAATCCAATTCCTGATTCTTAGCTCCCCTCCCACATCTCAACCCAGTGTGAGATGGGTTTTCCAGACACCACACAAGACTCAAAATGGGGGAAAAGGAATATATTACAGTGACTATACACATAAATAAATAGTATAATACATTACATACAATCTTAACTCTATCTCTACCATGACAATAATATTTACAATGGGCCAAATCTCTTCTCGCTTCCAAATAAAAGTCCAGGAGGGAAGAAGAAGAAAAGACCCCTTCCAGTCTCTGAGCAGCAGGTCTCTCTAGGGCAGTAGGCTCTCTGTGTCTTTCATGAAGCAGCAGTTGTTGGATCTTTGCCAATACATACCAGGGAGGCCTCCAAGCCCCTCTCGCCCCCCCGACGCAAACAAAGGGTCTTTCCGTGGGCTGCGTTACCCCAGACAAAGGTTGCTCCACCACAGTCATGTTGACGAAGTGCAGAAGCCTTCGTGACGGTCTGGTATCTTCAGGGGATTCAAGCTCCTTTGCAGAGTTTCTGTGCTCTGCCTCAAGATGGCTGCCAGCTTCTCTGAAGCTTAGCAGCAGTGGGGGGGGCGAAGGTCACCCCACACACACACATTCCTTTGGCCGTCCTGGCTGAGCTCTCAGGATAGTCTGAGCTTCTTAAGCTCCTCTCTGCAGTGCATACTGCACTCCAAGACTCTTTCAAGTAAGAGCCCATCTTCCTCCTCTCTTTCGGAGGAGTCTCCAGGGAGTTTGGGGAGTTTTGGTTGTTCAGTTCTTACCCCCAAACCTCTCTCTCTGCAGTGGATTGGTTCTCTTTCTGCTGCTGCTTTCCTTTTCTTCAGACAACTCTGTGTCTGCCTCGGCTGCATGCCGGTTTCTGCTGCTTCTTTGGTTCTTATCTGTTGGCTCTTTGCCACTGCTTTCTGTACACTGCTGTCTCTGCTGCTGCTCCATCTGCCCACTCACGGTGGAGGAGACTCCTACAGCTTTCCAGCTACAGGTACTTAGCCCAGTTTAACACTGTTCCAAGTCCCTATAGCCCCCCAGCCCCCGCCCCCAGTGGGGCTCCAGGTCTCCTCCTCGTGGCTTAGAACATGGCTACCTCTTCTCCAACAACAACAACTGCCGCTGTCCGAAGAGGGGATGGGACACGAGGAAGGGTGCAAGTAGAATGCCCTATTCACACGTGCACACTGTCTTTTTGTCAGCTCGGGCGGGGAAAGGGCCAGAACATAGGGCGGAGCATGAGACAGACAAGCAGGGGAACAAACCAGGATCGGGACATGGACAAAAGGGGGAGGAGTGGAGGAAGCAGGGAGCAGGCAAACTCATGGCAAGCCTGGGCACGACCAGGTTGTGCACTGTGCAGTGTGAATACAATGAAACCACATAATAACAGTAAAGTCCATATGATAACTGTAAGGTCCATATAATAAAGTCCTGCCAATTGCTGTATGCTTTTCTCCATGCCTGGGAACTGTTCCCATCCTGAATCTTGCTCCTTCACATCTCACCCTTTCTTACTTGATTGAAAATGTCTGCTGTGATAGTCCTTCTTGTAGCATGCTGTGATACAAGAAATAGTTAATAACAATACAAACAGAAAAAGCAAAATTTCAAAGCAAGTTAAAAAGGGTTTGTTTAAATGGACTTGGAGGAGGACAGATCTGCATCTTCCAAATCAGTTTGGACGGCTGCATCTGCTGAGTGACTCCCCCCTTAAAAAATTGTTTCCAGCCCGAGATGCCACTGCTCCATGGTGTCTAAAAGCTTGGTGATAGTGGTCTTCTGTGGACTACGAGATCCTGCGGAAGGGATGGGTTATGCAGGATGGAACGCAGTTGAGGGGGTGTTTGTGTTAACACAGCACCCCTGGAGCTTGCTGCCTTGTTTCCTGACGGTTCACAGGTGCACTGTTTGAGATCTGGCATTGAATTAAAAGTCACTTTTCTCCTTAAGTCGGGTGATTTTTTCGGGGGCAGCAGTTCTCCGTAGATGTTAGTGAGGGAGCGGCAATCCTTAGTCCAGTGTCTGCCTTTGCCACATCGTTTGCACGGTGTCTTTGGAAGCTGAAATTTTGTGGTTGATAGTGGGCAGTTCTTTTTTATATGTCCTGTCTCACCACAGTGAAAACAGGTTTGTGGTCCAGCTAAAGCTTCAGCTATTAGTCTTGCTTTATGAGAATTAGACCCCACATTACGACATGCCTTAACCATGACCATAGGAGTGGGATCTTTAAGAGTTCTTAGTATTTGTTGGCAATCGTCATTAGATTGTTCTATAGCCAACCTTAAAAATAGTGCATCTTGAGCTTCTGGGTGTTTGACTTGTTTTGCAATGGCTTTCTTTAGCCTTTCTGCAAAGTCTATGAATGGTTCTGTTGGTTTTTGTTGTACTTGTGTGTATGAAGGTGTAGGTTCATCCGCCTCAGCAATGGTTTGAATAGCTTGGAAGGCTAGATTTTTTGAAATGTCCAATTCATCCATAGGAATCTTGGTTTGGGCCTCATTGGAAATATAAGGTCCCACTCCATAGAGCCTATTAAAGGACTCCAGAACTGGGGTCCCTGTGGTTATTGAGGCTCGCTGGGCATGCTGGCGAATGCGAGTTTGCCATTCCTCCAGGAAAAGTGTTGTTTGCATGTTAGTGAAGAAAGCGCTCACTAATTCCTTTATGTCATTTGGAGTGAATGTGTATGCAGCAAAGAGTGAACTCAGTACTCTTATTACATAAGGTGAGTTTAACCCGTAGTCAGTAATAGCTTGTTTTGTATCCTTCAGAACTGGGAGGGGGATGGGTTCCCAGACAGGGTGATTGTCGGGATGATAAAATACAGGAAATGCTTTAACCAAATTCAAATCATCAGCTGTTGACGCTTGTTCCTTTATGTAAGACCATCTGCTCCTCTGGGCACTGGCACCGGAGAAGCCAGGACCATGATTACAAACATGTTGGCATGTATGTGGAGACAGGGAGGTGGAAATAGGTGGGCTATGGGGGAGTGGTGGGCCTTGTGGGGGACAAGCGCAATCTACCGGTGTGGAGGAACAAGTACATCCACAGGGTGGTGGTACTGAAGGGGTTAAAGCGCCAGCTACTGGCGCGGTGCTGCCGTGGGGAGTGGGGCATTGGAAAGGAGTACATGCATGCGTTGGGGATGGGGGGGGTTGGAGGGGAGGGGGGCCGAGAGGGTTTTTTTGGTGGGGGGGAGGCGGAGGAGGGGGGCGGTGGGGGGCGGTGCCGGCCGGGCTCGCGCGGGCGGGCCGGGGGGCGGGGCCGGCGGGACGCGCGCAAA